TCCAAAACCCCATGAAGACCTCTGTTGACCTTTGAGGAGGTCCATCTTCCCTGCAGCAGCCTGTAGTTACCGTGCACCCTTCTTAACAAAACACTGTGATTCATGAAATCCAACGTAACGTTTACTCCTCTTTTTCTCTCCGTTTCCCATGAAAGGCAGCAAAACTTACTCAGTCTGTTCCAAATAAACGTCTGTCTTCAAATCTAAGCTTACATCTAACAGCAGAAAACCGAATGAGTGTGCGGCCTACGCGGGGCTCTCCGTCCGTCCCCGGCTCAGATACGCACGGCCGGACGGCGTCGCGCTACGGCGGCTGCGTGTGCGCTTCAGCATCGAAGTGTGTGAAGAAGAAGCCATAAAACGACGACAACGCGACGGTTCAGGTCTTTGACTGTGATTGACTGCTGAGACCTGCAGTAAAACTCTCTATTAACACACAGCCGTGACCGCATGACAAAAGCATCGCCGCGGCAATTATTCAAGAGTGACTGCACACCTAAACGTGTCTTTTAAAGCTATAAATTCATTTATATGATGCAACATATCAATGTGGACGTTAATAGTGACTTAACAGATGCATATAGATTAGAACGTTTTCCACTCTTTTAAATCCGTGCTAATCTTCAATCCAAATTGTTTGATGGGCTCGACCATGTGGGACTAATGGGTCACGTGAAAGAAATGTTACTGCGCATTGATCACACCCATCTACTTCTATTCAGATCAATTCACTTTATTCTGTAAAACACAAAACCGCAAATTGCAGATTTGCCTCAGAGGGCTTTACAGTCTGTACACATCCTCTGTCCCAAAAGCCTCACATCGGCACAGGAAGAAACACCCTCAGAAGCCTCAGTGAGAACGTCAGAGGAGGATCCGTCTCCTGATGGACAGACTACAATGATGTCATGAGGACACAATGAACAATGTAAAATATGAACAATACATTCAATTCATACAGAAATGATTCATATAATAGCAAGCAGGTGCACGACAGGACCACTGCAGACAGAACCATCATCACATAGAACCACCATCACATAGAACCACCATCACATAGAACCAACATCACATAGAAACACCATCACATAAGAACCTACCATCAGATAGATCCACCATCACATAGAACTACCATCAGATAGAACCACCATCCACAGAAGTGGAGGGAAAGCACAACGACTTTAGGAAAGGGTAATGATGTAACATGATTAACTTTTAAAATACTAATAATAATAGTAATGATGATGAGAGCAGCAGCAGGCGTCAGCGGGGCCACGGTAGGAGGCAGGAACATGGTCCAGATATAACCAGGATCCATAGAAACCTGTGAGGCGAGAAAGCACAAAGTTAGAAACAAAGTTAGCGATGCACATTAATGTTTACAGCAATAGAAATGGGAATATCAATGGCCTTGGAAGCGGTAGGTGTCTGCTGGGCCGGGCCGGGTCCAGACGGAACTACGATCCCCGGAGACCTGCAAGGCGAGAAAGCACAACAAGCTCTGAGAAAGAAGCTGAATTAGTGAATGCATTAATAAATAAATAATAACTTCTATTGTTTTCTACTACAGCCATAGCGTGGCATTACAGTTACAGCACATTCCGTGCTTGTTCTCCAGCTTTACTCCGATGTCACTGAAGAGGTTGGGTGGATGAGTCAAACACAGCGGCCTACTTTCACCCAGGGTACCAGTGTTCATCTCTAATATGTAAAAAAACCCTTTTCATTTTGTTCCAAACAATTATATTTGAATCCAGCCAAGTGGCAAAATCGTTTATTCCACTATTATTTCCACATGATTGTGTGCATAAAACAATATAAAATGCTTTGGCACTAATATAGGATTCAAGATGTCTGCTTCTAATTGTGTCTTCGTCCGTGCATGAAGACAACTTATTTAAGACTATCATATTGCATCTGCACAACAGAGTAGCCCCACGGTCGAGGTGAACGTTTTTATTTGACTTTTTTCCGCTTTTCCGTTTCACCGTCTCAGCGTCTCACTCGTTCTGCCTACTCAGGAAAGTAGAACTTTACACACGTTTCACACTCGGTGTCACTCTCATTGACAGCCGGAAGAAAAAAAGGAAACCTGTGAACATATGGAGATCTGCAGCTTTTCCAGCATTAGGCATCTTAAAAAAAAACAGTGTGATGTTCAACTGATGAGACAGATGGTTCGTTAGAGAATCACAAATATCCTGCTAAGTCTTGCACTCACTTCAGGGAACAGCCCTCAGAGAAACAAGTCTGCGGCAAGTTTGTTTTGGTGTGCATGCTGCTTCTGTGACAGGTCTGAGCTATGAATAAGAGATGACGGTGAGCCGACATCACATGTTAGAAACAGAGGTCAGGCATGTGCCGTCCTGCAGAGCAATGACCTTCCATTCGATGTGTATTGCTTAATAACATCTAATCATTTATTTGCTCCGCCTTCCGTCTCGGTGACCACGTTCTTTTCCTTATGTGACTTTATCTCCATCTTCAGTTTTTTTTTGTTTTTTTCGGTCTCTTCCATCTGGACAACTACCAGGATTCAGTTTCCATGGCAACACAGTAATATTTTCTTCTTCAGTTCCACTGGTGAGAACTTATAGAGTTTGGGCTACTGCTTTTATGCAGAGCATTTAATCGGGTTACAGGGCACATGCTCATCGCTCCTCTCTCGCTTTTGAAGGATTCATCATTAGAGAGAGTAGATGCCGGAGGTCCATGTGACAGATTACCGGGCGTTAAAGTTGTGTTCAAGTTGATGAATCCTCTGTCTCTCTTTGACACTGCATCCGTTTACCGAAGGGTAACGTTAAATCCAGCTTGGATTCATTTTTGCCTGTTTTGGTAAAAGTAACATTCTGTTAACTGGCTCATTCGTGGTAACAAAGAGACCCAATCACAGGTTATCAGAGGTTGACGTTAACAGATTAACCTCACCAGCATGAGGACAAGCGCCGGGTATCTCTGCAGCGTGCGACGCAGACGGTGGATTCATCAAGGCCGAGCAGCAATTCAGGAGAGCGTGTGTGTGTGTGTGTGTGTTGTGTGAGTGTGTGAGACTGCTGTGTGCAAAGCATCCTCACCGGGAACACTGCATGTGTGGTGACTTAACCGACACATCGGGCTGAGCCATTCATCCAGTCAAATATAAACAGCTGAGTCCTTGGAAAAGCTCTTTTTGTCAAGCATCTCATGCTTGTTCCTTCCAAGCATGAATGTGTTTCCCTATGAACATATTGAGAAATCAAACAAGCTTTATCAGTGCTGGTACTCGCCTTTAAAGCCCTGATACTCATTTACATTCTAAGGAAGAAAGCTTACACTATTATTATGATAATATCAGCTGTCTGCTGTTCCAGTGATTATCATGCATGGGAAGTAATTGTCCATTTATTCCAAACCGTTTGCTCAAGGAATGTATTCAAATTGATTCGAATCTGCCGTCGGCCGGCTGAAGACTCATGTTTTGATGCTGCTCTGGATTTTGGGGGCCTTCAATTTCAATTATTTAGTAAAGAAAACTAATCAGAGGATGTCACAAAATGAAACCATTTACTCAAACAATAGAGAGATATTTTACCAAGATAAACACTGAGAACTCTCCCTCCGGGCATTACTAAAACTGTACTTGTATCAGCTGCAGGATGTAAAAGGATGAGAGATGAAAATGATGCGGAAAAAACTATTCTGGTACAATTATCAGCGCTGTTAGAACAGTCAGCGCTGTTTGCACAGTGAACGCTGTTAGCACACTGAACGCTGTTAGCACACTGAACGCTATTAGCACACTGAACGCTATTAGCACACTGAGCGCTGTTAGCACAGTGAGCGCTGTTGGCACAGTCAGCGCTGTTAGCACAGTCAGCGCTGTTAGCACAATGAACGCTGTTTGCCATTTTTTAGAGCCATCAAGAGGCACGAGATGATGAGCTAGATTTTGACCCCTTTTAAGATGTATTTATTATAATAGGAAGAGGGAAAATAGCTTGAATGTGTAAAACTCAATCGACGGTTCCTCTCTAACTTGAACCAACGGATACGGCTTTTTTGGGGATGAGTAACCTTTTTGGGATGAAGCCCTTAAAGCCGAGGCAGGACCGGTCGTGTGAAGACTCGGCGCGATGGCGAGTGAAATGAGCATGGCGGCGCTGCGCTGTGGCATCGGTGTTCCATCTCTGGTGAGACTTAACCCCGGACTCTGTGGATCTTGGCGGGTCTCTACCCATGAGGCCGCAGAGGCCGGCTACCACGGCCACCTCCTGAACCCCGGACGTCAGGGCAAGCAGCAATATTAGCCCCCACAATGCACTGTGGGATCCAGATAATCTACAGATGTCCCAATGCTGTCTCTAGGCGGGGGGAGGAAAGTGTGGGGGGGGCGGCGGTGGGAAATGTGAGAACAAAGTGAGGAAGGCGAGTGAAGAGGAGTGATAGATGGCACACTGTGATGTCTCCGGAGGGTTGAGAGAAAGTGAGAAAACGAGAGCAGGAGAGGAAGAGAGCTTCAATGTCAGCTGCAGGATCAAAAGAGAGGCAGAGTCTGGCGACGGAGGCACCTGAAATCCATTCAAATTAAAGCGTGCGCTGACACAAGGCCAGCGCATGAATACAAAGAGGGACTTTGTTGAGCCTGGACGTTGTATACTTGTGGTTGTTTATCTGGCTGCTTGTTGAATAGAAGTCGTACACAACGGTGAGCATGTGTGTGGACATTTCCGCCGGTGTGTGTGTGTGTGTGTGTGTCTATGGCTGGAGGTAGGCGAGCTTCAGGGAGCAGGTAGCCGGGGAGTTTTGGGAAAGGTCGTGGGGCGCAGCGGCTTGGCATGGCGGCATATTTGATTCATAAGCTCACCGGGGCATCGCTCTGCTGCAGGATTGAGGATTGAGCCGTAAGTCTTGAGTTTGAGCTGCAGACGCAGGGTGTTTGCCAAACAAACCCTCTTCTCAGAGCCGCGGGTGAATTAGTGATGTGACTCCATCAGCACAATGGTTTCTTTTCTCATAAATTGTTTATTTCATGCACTCCGTGTTAAATCGTGTTGATTTCAATAGAAACCGACAAATGGAAGAAGAAATGGCAGAAGGGAACTTGTGTGTTGTGTTTCTTTTTCTTTTTTTTTTTACATTGCACACAGAGATTCTGTTTTATCTGTTTTCCAAACTGTGTTCAGCAAATATACAACTTGTCTACAATATTGACCTTTCGACACATGGATTGAAAAAAAAATAACAATCATGAAATTTCAAGGGGGATCTGTTCATGAGCTCTGCAGTAAATCTTTGTCACGATTATGATGTGCTTTGTTAAAAATAATAATAATATTATATGTTAATGAGGAATCGATTCAGCTCTTCGGAGGCACTTCATTCATACAGGAGAGCGGGAAGGTTAAATGTTTCCAGTGTTGATGTTTCGAAGGTCCTGGACTCAGCCGGGAATCATTGGCAGGGCAGCGAGTGATGGACTCTTTACACAAAGAGCTAAATCCATCACAGAAAATCTAGAAAACACAACAAATATCTTAACATTTTTGATATTATGATATTATTCCCACGCTTGATCAGATGCACCAACACAGTGTTAATTCAGGTGTATCCCGTTGGCTCCCACTCATCTCAAATCTCTCACCCCACTCAGCTGGGCGACAGGAGAATAAGATCCTGCTGCTCCCTCGTTTATCGTTTAACATATTTCACATTTCTTTCACCTTTAGCGCTGCTCAATACCGTCTGACGGTTGACCTTTGGTGGGCGAATGAGAAAGGCCTCTGACTGTAAGCACCCACTCACACACAAGCGAGGGAGCGCACGCACTCCTTCTAAGGTCATCGCCCGAGGCGGTCAATAAGACTGGTGAGCTTTTGTGTTTGCCAATACCTTCCTGCAAAGAGGTTGACAGGCCTATATGATCCACGCGAGGAGGAGCTGTCCTAATGGGTTGATGGAGATACAAACAACAACAAAAAAAGTGAGACACACACACACACACACATTCAAATAGCCAGATCGCTTTGTGACCTCGCACATCCTCTGCTCTGGATGTTTATACAAATACACCTTTGTCGCTCCAGACATCCAGACGGGGAGGCAGGTAAACAGAGACAGAATCCTTCACATCAGCTGAACAATCACACACGCACACACACACGCACACTCGCGCTGTGTGGACGCCGCTCCAGAGACCTGCAGAGAGGAACATTAAGTCATACAAACACCTTGAGTGTCAGCCTTGGTTGTGAAGGGGGGGGGGGGATGGATGCTCTTAAGCCTCAGCTGCTCAGGCAGTGATGAACGGCCAGATCATTTCCAGGCCCCACACACACGCACACAACGACAACACACACGCAAACAAACACTTAAAAGCGGTCCTGTAAGAATGCATCGCCGCTCCGCCGACCCACGAAACCAAGTGGTTTAACCAAGTGGCTTAATTAGACTGCGGTTAAATGTGTTGGCTGGAAACAACAAGAGAGGGATGATCATCTGAGTGATCAACTTTATTTATGTCTTTGCTCCTCTTTTTAAAGATGGGACATGTGGTATTCTAACATCAACAAATCATGTTCATGTCTGAGGACCAAGTAAACCATTATTAAGGTGCAGATCCTCCAGCTGAGTGAACACCAAACCGTGGTTGAACCCCGAGAGGCCTGCACACAACACCACATCCTTATGCAGAAGTATCAGCCAAACAGTAGGAATACAAATGGAAAAAAAAAGAAAGAAAATCAATGCAGTACTGTAGCAAAAAAGTATTTTACATAAACATGACATCTGCAAAGCAATAGCCGAGGAATAGTACAAAAGTTCCCTCTGGATTGTTTAGAGGAAGTAGGCACACTTGTGGATTTTCAGTAGCCTGTCGGCCGTCTCAGGTTGCGGGAGACACTCGATCTGCAACAGGTGGATACACTCCAGCACACACACACACACACACACACACACACACACACACACACACTGCAGCATGTAAAACAGATTGGCCTGCAGCCATCAGTCCCAACACCATTATCCGTGTGTGTGTGTGTGTGTATGTGTGTTTCCATGCTTGATTTGCATGTGCATCTGACATGGGCATGTTTTGATCCTAATGAGGAAGCATTTACAATTTGTCTGTGCGTGTGTGTGTCTGTGTGTGTGCACGTGTGCGTGCGTGTGTCAATGTTTATTATTAAGTGTGTAAATAAATCACAACGCCGCTGTTTTGGGAATCCAGCAGTGGTTTTGTCTCAGTGTGTCAAGGTGGAAACATCTGCACACACACTCACACACACACACACACACACACAGGCACGCACACACTTACATGCAGCCTGCAGGCTATGCCTAGTTAGCGTAATGACACATTGGAGGGACATCAACTGTCCGGGAAAGATAAACAGCGTTGACTGGAGGGCCCATTACTCCCGGGCACGCCTGAAGGAACACATGTCACACGCTCCGTCATTAAGCTGCAGCAGAGACCGGGACGAGAGACGGCGTCCTCTCTGTCTCAGAGGAGCGCCGTAAAGTGCTGTGGGACAAACTGCTTCAGTCGCTTGCACTTTCGTCAATCCTCTGCAGGGGTTTTTGCTAAATATTGACGGATGGTGAGTGGTGGATGTCGAGTAGGGTTTAAGAATCTACAGTAAACAGGAGCGAGGAAGCGTTCAGCACCACGGACAGCACCGCAGAGACCACAAGCAGGGCTTTCTGTTTCTTTGAATCCCGAGTTAATGGAACACCCGGGGTAGCTGTTTACAGACCTGAATGCTAGGCTAAGCTAACCAGCTGCTGGCTAATACAAGAGGCTGTCACGCTGAAACATCCTGCAAGACCAAGACGTAAGAAGCCAGTGAGGCTATTTAGTCCATTATTTGTGTTCTATTAGTTTGAACCCTCCAGTTTATGCAGCCACTGCCTTGATGTAGTTTGACTGAAGCCAATGTTTTTCATATCAGGAGCCATTTTTACACCATTGTCAACATTCAGAGTAACAATAAAATAAAATCTCCCACGTAACTGTGACTTCTGTGACTATTTGCTGGGCAGCTGCCAATGGTTTGGATTATTGGGCCCTTCAACATTTTCAGAAAGCCCATCCCACGGTGCCAATCAAATAAAATAAATCAGCTTATTTATTCTTTGTTGTTTTGGTGATTTCTGTTTCATTTTCATTGAAAGGATTAATACAAAATCATTGATGTGTCTTTTTTACAGGCGAGCTGCTTCTTCTTCCACCGCGGCTTTGTCTCCGAAATCACAGCAATCTATAACAAAAACAGCTTGCAGCAGAGATATAAAGTAATATATCATGTTGAATCCCACACGTATTCATAGAAAATAAAAACACTTCATCATATAATTAATGTCTCATCCCGTCCAGAGCCGTCCTTGTGTGTGTGTGTGTGTGTGGGGTGTGTTTGTCCGTGTGAATACAAGTGTAGTCTTTTGACGGGGGTGTAAAGTGTAGATGGGGGGCTTTTATTGATGGAACAGCAGCTGCTATGTCAGCAGTTCCACCGGCTCAGAACCCTGACGGAACAGCTCTCCTCCGGCTACTACGTCAGCTACTACGTCAGCACACATTCTTGCACCGGGTCTTTTTGTATTTTTCTTTCTTCAGAGAGCAACAGTGTTTTTGGAATTCATTAAAAACCTCAGTGGCAGCTTTGTAACATGTGTTGTCTTGGCAGGAAACCGACGACACGTTTCTCTCGATCGCTGCACAGCGTCTGGGTTCGCTGCTTCAGTGAAACGTGTGAGTTTGGGTTTTTTATTTCAGCATGTTATTGGGTGAAAACGTCTTCGTTATCATTATCTTCCTGAGAAAACTGAGCAGAAATCATGAAGTCTTTCTGTTCAAAGTTTGGTGCCTCAATAATTCAGGATTGAGGACATAAAAAGATGCATTACAGGCAACGAAACATGAAATAAACAAAGCGGATAATGCACCGATTTCTGTTCTGTCCCGCTAGCGATGGCGATAACTGAACTCTGTTCCGTTTATATATATACATATATATTCATTTATTTCTTTTTTAAATATGTCCATAGTGTTTTATTCATCTGTCTTGTCTTGTTTGGTCTTTGGCGAATGTTTGGGTGTCGAGATCACATCTGTGCCGTCTGGAGCTCACTGATGATCAAGCTGTGAAAAGGAACAAGAGCGGAAGGCACAGCGGACAGTTTAATTACATCAACATAATTATGAGGGATTTTCAGGCTGTAATTGCGGTGAAATATTACCTGAGCTCAGATTGTAGCATTTTGAATCTCTGGATATTAATGTATGTGCAAGCCGGGTCGGTTGGGCTTTATTTCCAAGGAAACAGAGGTCGAAGCTTCTTACTTCATCAATATCCGTTTTGGCGGGTCGCCCAGAATATGTCGGCTCGTCGTGTTCATCAGGTTTTATGGGTCAAAATGTTTTTTTCTTTCTCACCAAAGGCATCATTTCAGCCATCAAGTGAGCGAGGCACAGCGGAGTAATTAAAAGCTGCGTCTTCATTTAAATTCTGCCACATGTGCACATTTTCCATCCATTACGTCTGCTTCCAGATAAAAAAGGGCTGATTGACTATAACCTATAGAGGAGATTTGAATCACCGGGTTTTGAAGAATAGAATGAATCTGTTTACCATCTTCTAGACAAGGTTATTTTATCAATTTTACATCAGTGTCTCAGCTCTGACCCGCCTTCATCTCGTCATATAACATTGAACTACATCAGCATTTTGACTCATTTATCTCCACAGCACGTTGGAAAACATGAGCTATTCAAGATAAATACAGTAAAATAAAGTACCAAAGGCCACGAGAATGTCAAGTCTCATGACATCAGACAGAAAGTCTTGTGCTGTAGTTAATAAATTCCACAACACCTGCAGCTACTTTGTGTGCTTCACTCAAACAGACGCACACGTACAGATAACATCAACCCAGCAGCTCACAGAAGCTTCATTCTTTAACAAATACCGTTCTAAAACAGCTGGGCACTTTTATAGCAAATGTGACCAGAGGTATTTTAATGGGGCACTATTTCAATGAATGGTTAATGGACTTGTATAGCTATTATTCTCAGTAACATTCACAGCATCCTCACGCCGTAGTCATGACTACGGGAGATATATACAATCCTCCTCCGAGGAGGAGGCTGTGTTTTGTTGAAATAATTTGTATGTTTCGTGATTTGATTTTCTTGTTGACATTTCGTAGTCATTTGACATATTTCATCAAAATGTTAATATTAAAAATCAGTGTGAAAAGTTATTTTCTTTACGTTTTTATCTCAAAATGAGGTTTTGTATTTGTTGCCTAAAGAAGTATAATGTTTTCTTATAAACAAAGTCTGTGTTTCTTATTAAAACTCACAATGTGCACCCTCTGGGCTCTGAAAAATGCTTTTATTTCCTCATGAAACATTTGCTTATTTATTAATGACGTATTATAGGGACCGTGTTTCATAATGCAAACAAAACGAATACTAACATCTCATCTAATCTGCGCTAGAACAACACACAACACGTTGGTTTGGTTTGTGTCCACTCGGACATTAAAGTCTCTCAAGCTTCTCTGGAGCACCGACCTCATCTCAAGCATCTCACAGTGCAACAGAACATTCACTTTGAGACGAAGCAACTTGTTTCTGGCTTTGAAATGCATTGCTGGTGTGTGAAGTGTGTGTGTGTGTGTGTGTGTGTGTGTGTGTGATTAAACAAGGAAACTCTGCAGCCCTTTTTCGGATCCCACACACGACAGTGTAGCAGTTTGATGAATCAAAGCATTTGCATCGGCTCCAAATAACATTAACCTCATTTCACCTGCATAACTCCAATCTCACGTCTGCGTGACCTGCAATTCAACAAAACATCCTGCCGCTGCTTCCTCTCTTTCTCTCCTGCATCCACACAAAAACTCCTCTTCCTCCTTCTGCCTCTCCCTCTGAATCCATGAGTCATTCAGTGCATTTAAATGTTAAATACTAAGGTGGAGGGCATGAGCCATTTCCAAACACATTACCAGCTAATGGTTCACATCTTAATCACCTGACCAGTCTTGTTCTCTCGGGTGGATATTAAGAGCACGAGGTTCGGTCTGTGTGGCGCTTTCACTGCGCAGATCCACAGTCAAAGTGCTTTGTTGGGGGCAGAGAGGATCAGCACTGCTGGTTTGGAATGAGCTCACATATTCTGACACCTTATAAAACAAAGGACAAACCGACGGGGCTGCTCTGCGTCATGCACCACCTGGGGAGACGCTGCTCTGTGTCTCTGTGTGAAGCATCCCGGGACGCCAGACGGCATCGAGTCAAAAGAAAAAGGATCAGCGTCCCTTTGCAGCAAACAACGCGACGATCAAAGGTTGTTTGGGGAAGATAATAAACGGGAGACACGCGCGATCTGCAGCGGCCCCCCCGCCGTGACGTGTGATCACGCCTCGGCCTTCGTGCTCCAAACACGTTTTGTGTAAAAGTGCCGTCGATGCCCGATAATAAAGGCACCCGGCGAAGCTGCAGCTCGGTTAGCCGCTAGCCGAAGGCGCCGTCCAATTCGCCACCACAAAAAACCGCCAGTAGAAGTTGTTTTGGAGCAACATGAGTCGGCGCCACGACGGGAAGTCCTGCAGCAGCAATCACACACATACAGCGAGCGTGCAGACAAACGCTCACTCACAGACAACAAAGCGCTTGACAAACACGGGAAGTGTACTTTTGTGGCGATGTTCAACCCCATGTTCTACGTAGACGGCTGTGCGTGCGTGTGTGTGTGTGTGTGTGTGTGTGTGTGTGTGTGTGTGTGTGTGTGTGTGTGTGTGCTGCATTGCTGCCTCCGACTCGCCCACACTGCCTTTAGCCAGCCATTAATTCCCCGGCGTGCGGCGTGCGAGACGGAGAGTGACGGCTCCAGCGCTTACTTTAGGTTATTACGGATGAATCAATAGAAACATAAAAACCTCAAAGTGTGTCATTAAATTCACAACTAAGGATTTCCATCATGAGCTCAACTCAACAAACGCTGATATCTGAATCGCAAAAATGTTACGTTTGTAAATGTATTTTCCGGCTGAATGAGTCTGACGATGAAATTGTTTTGGTTTAATTGACAAATTCTATCAGTCCCAGATGTGGAGACGTTGGTGCAGCTGTGTCAGGCCTGAAGTCGTGTCCACCGGATGTGCTGTGTGTTTAAAAAATAAGATTAATGACGAATCTGCTTCAACGGATCAGAATCAGCTCTGTTGGCCTGATAAGCCCACACATTGTGTTCTTAAGAAGATAAATACTGCAACAAGAACTCTGGCCTTGTCGCCCAGATGTATTATAAGATATGCAGGGAATCGTGTCCGCTGCGTTTAGCTTTGTATTGGAGCACGTTGTGTATTATTTCCGCCAAACGCGGCGATGCGTCCCAATTTGTAATTGCTCATCTTTGCACTTGAGTGCAACTCGTATCAACGTGCTCAATGCTTGCTGTGTCAGAAGAGACCCTTTGGACTTTCTGTAAGTGACCCGCAGATCCAACAACAGGAGTTGTTTGTGTGTGTGTGTGTGTGTGTGTGTGTGTGTGTGTGTGTGTGTGTGTGTCAGACTATTAGATCAATGTGTATTTCAGCCGGTTTCCCATTATCCCTCGACAGCCCAAACTCTAATGGATGGCGTCTTCAGATGTAAAGAGAGGAACAGAAGTCCAACTGTTGTTCGTGTGAGCTTCACGCTGTGCCTCTGATCGGGTGTCTCCCCCCCCCCACAAAAAAAAAATTCAACACACAAAAAAAAAGAGCCCCACGGCTCCTGAAATCGTTGTAAAAAGTTCCTTCCAGATCTTCGTTGACCTTAACAGCTCATATTTCAGGAACGTCTCGAGCTGAACGTCCGCGCTCCCTTCGGCTGCGCTTGATGAATGTGGGAGTCCTGAATCCTCCCGTTGAACTGTAGAGGCTGTAAATTAAGTATTTTAAGGAACTTTGGAGTCAATTACAAAACAGCTGAATGGTAAAACATTTGCACCTACTTTTTCCAAAACGTCTCCAGGTCGCCAAAAGGTCCAGATACGCTCTGACGAAGTCTGTTTTAAACACCCAGAAAAAACCCCGAGGTCAGAGGAAGTTGGAAAGTCTTGATGCAGAAGCTGAATAAGAGTCGTAACAACAGTTCTTATTGAGAAAGTTGAGACTGATTGCTGCTCTTTTTTCTTCTTCCTCAAACCACCAACCTCTGAGACACAAAATACTGCTCGTGTTGTTCTGAAACCATTGATTGGGTTTGGAGCCGATCAGCCTGTACGTACTAAATGTCTCGCTGTAGTCTCGCTGTGTGTGTCCTCAGCTCATCTCAAAGCCTTCCTGTTGGAAAGGACCAAAGGAAAAGTTGTCAAAGTTGATGCGATGGGCTTGTTATTTATTTTTTCTCAAACCGAGCCTCTCGCTCTCACGTGGTTCTTGACCTCCGCTCAGGTCAGAGGACGAAAACGGACGGGAGCTGTCCTTTTAATTGCGCCTGCGGGCCGAGCAGATGGAGGGAGTCGGTCCTCGTGGCTTCAGCTGCCAACCAATCAGCACCTCTCACCTCTCCGTCGCCCCGGGTTCAACTCTTTGGACGGCTTTAAAAGTACAAAACGAAAGCCTTTAATGTGGTTTGCAAAATGCTGACTGTCGTTTCACAGACTCACGTTAACACTTGTTAAAAGAGTGAGACATTTTATTTTTTTTCCTGTGTCATTCAGTTCAAGGGAGGAAAAATAGTCAATATGATTTTTTTTGGAGGCATCGGAGCATAAAATGGTCAAAACATAGTTTGTTATTCTGCTCTCTGGCAGGTTTGTTGATCATTATTACTGATTTAAAATGAAGCTCCCTTATCGGTCCTCTGAAACGTTTTTGAACTTAATTTATTTATAAAACATTTAGATGAAAACCATAAATTCGCTGAGAATCCAACATCCATTCTGTTAATTATCATCATATGAACGCTCAGCTGAATTCCAATTCCGACCTCTTCGGTGGAAATAAACCAGCTTGAATTCTGGGTACCAGAGGTGAAGATTTAGCTTCCCCACCCACTGGATTTTAGAGAGTCCAAACTCCACCACCTTCTCCTCCCGGCTCCACCTTCGCCGCTTTGCTCTGAAGGGCCGCAATCCCCGATCTGAAGACCCTGCCGAGCTTCTCCGCTGGGACCACGTGTCTTTTGTCCTCAACAGGCCGGCGTTTCACAGCAGTGGAAGGCGCACGGAGACCTGCGCGGTGGAACACGACATGCACGACTGCACGTTCTCCTCTTACGGGGTAACAAGCGCGCTGCCGGCGACTCCAGGCCGCCATTATCTTCACGTCCAATCAGGCTCGTCGTGCGAATCGCCGAAAAAAAGCAAACGTTGGGGCCGTTTTGTTTGGGAAATAATTCTGGCTCCCACAAATCAAACCTCTGACCTTCACGTGGATTTTCACGTGGTGTGTCTGCGTGTTCGGGTGCCTTTGCACGGCGGCGTTTTTACACGTCAGCAGAGAGAAATGTGTCAGTATTTGGGATTCAGCGCCACGTCATTCGGGTTCTGCGATATCTGCTGTTTAAAGAGGAACAACCTCCTGACAACGCAGCCAGGCTGTGTTTCTCGTCTTTAGCAGACCACACGGGGAATAACAATAAGCTCTGTTCCAGCGAGAAGGGATTCTGTGAGGAGATCTCGTTACGCTTCTCAGAGGTTCTCATCTCATGAAGAGCTGCACAGAAAAAACGATTCACAACAATTCTGATGGCATTACAAAGAAAAAATACTACGTGAAATGCTCTTCCAACTGAGTTATAATGAAAATATCGAGCATTAAGACTGTTTTTTTATTATTTCTAAGCTGGGGCAGGCCGTGTATTTTGGGATTTTGGAGCATTGGATCTGAGAAGATAAGTGGACGGGACCTTCACAGCGCGTTCCTCCCAGCTGTGGATAAAAAGTGCTATTCCAGCATTTTGGACAGTTTCCTACGCAAACGCAAACATGAAGCCAGGCGATATAAAGTCGATACGGAGACGCTGAGCACATTTTCCTCACGATATCCCCTTCAGTTTTAATCTCCGTCCCTGCAACGCTTCAGAGGTTCTTTAGTCTGCCGGAGGTGCAAATCATGGTGGGATTGGTCCTAAAGACCCCCAACGTTTGCAACGAAAACCACTGGGTATTTCTGGTGGAATTGGAGAATTTCTCAAACCGAATCAGAATGAAGATTGAAAGGAAATGATTGTAATCGTAGAAGAACCAGTTCTCCTTTTTAAGTACATCATTTTGGGTACTTGCAGATGTACTGATATGAGTTCCAACATCGCTGCAGTTCCCATGACGAATTTGAAAATATTATTTATTTGATCTGATATTTCTCATTTGGAATTGAAGTCATGAAGCCTCGTGTTGTGACTGATCCCTTCGCTTTGATCAGAAGGACACGGACGCTTTCCTCGGGTCACGGGTGGACGTGTGTGTGTGTGTGTGTACATGTATGTATATACACACATATATCTGTGTGTGTGAGTGTGCGTGGGCCTGATGATGCCAAACCCATCACGCCCACCCGGGCTGGAATGAAAAGCGGTGAATGCTGTTTTTGTCGTACTCCTCCACCTGAAACCGATCGCTTTGTTGCCATCTGGACGTTGGATCGGCGACAGAACCCCCGTCCTCTCGTTTTCTCCTTCATCTGCGTCTCTCAGTACCGACGTTTGTCGGGAAGAAGAAGAGCGGCCGAACACAGCTGACGGGCGCAGTGCCCCCGTCCTCCTCCCTCCCCTCCGGTTGCCAAAAGAAGCTCTCGACAATGCGTCTGTACAAACTGTCTGCTGCTCCATTCTGCTCCCATTCGAGGGCCGAGGCTCGGAGAAACTCACCTTACAATCTGAAGTAGTCTGTGCCGTCTTTTTCTTCCACCGCTAGAGAGAAAAACAGGTTTATCTGCCTCTGGAAAGCCCGGTTCTGGGATTCATCGGCATTTAACATTTGGTCTCAGAGTTTGACTTTAAAGTAGAAGAAGCCCAGTTTTGCTAGAAGGTACAACATGTCGTCCTTGTTACCTTTCAGCGGATTCCAATGAATCTATTTAATAACCACCTGGTCCCCCCCCTCTCTGTCCCACATCGGGACTTATTGGCGAAAGCTCCAGTGCTTAATTGCTAACATGTTAGCATTACTGCCAGGCCACGGCACCACAAATATCTGGCAAGATCACACTGAGCAGTCATGCATTTTTAAAATGAAATCCTGTATTTTTTTAATGTTTCATGAGGCAAGAGACCCGGGAAACGTAGTCCGTCGCTGGTCGAGCCCGGCATGTGAACCTTTGCCGGAGAGGTCCAGACCTGTTTGAAATTGCGCTCCGCGGCTACCAAGCGCGTCCGGTGTGCAGTCTGGCACGTGCCAAACAGGGCCCGGCCCCCGAGGAATGGGTGCACAAGCCTTGGCTCCACTCATTCCGCCTGCAGTATCCAGTCCTCCCAAACTCCAAGTGCCTGATAGTTCTTCTCTAGTTGGAGGAGGTGCACTTTCAGGGAATAAATGCCAGAGATAAAATCACGTGACGTTTAATCGCTGTCCGCCTGGATAGAGTTCACCAAAAGACAACATTACCGAAGTCCATTTTCGTTTGTTTGCGGAGGAGCAATGAGAAGAATGATGGGGCGATCCCCACGCTGCGAGATCATCCTCTCCTGGAGGGAAACGGCTACGTCCACAGTGCGGAGAGGACTCCACCAACGAAGAAGCTCAGGCCGCGTCTCCACGTACGGGAGCCCGTGACAGAACGCGCATCACAGGAGGGGATCACTGATGCACACCAACGTGGCGTGTGACGCACTTTTCCATCGGACGTGCACGTGCGGCAGGAAAACCCTGGCGCGCACGTCACCCACAGCTGCTAATGAGCAGCCGGCAGGGTCTCTGGCTCAGCAGCCAATTATGGCGTCCCATCGGAGTAATAGTGTGTGTCTGCGTGTGTGTTCGAGTGTGCGTTTTTTTGGTGCAGATGTTTCGAGCCGCGGCCACTCATGTTCTTCATGCCAATATGACAACAGTCTTATTTACATAATCTCTCAGCTCTAATGATGTCTTCACATACTGCTCATGAAACGTTTCCCGATCGAAGGCAACAACACGGACTGCTGAACCTCACTACCCAGAACGCATCAGTGCTGTGCTACGAGCAGAGTAAAAATATAGATATATATATGAAAATAGACATAAGCCTTTTAGCTGAGGGTTGTTTATTTCAGGCCTTGTCCCTTGCTTTGCGTCAGCGCTGTAATGTTTTTCTCACAGTGGATCTTTCATGACCCCAACTGGGTTGAGCTTAAATTGTAAACAGAGTTTGCTGCATGAATAAAAACTGAAAAATCCAAAAGAAAGCCTCTCAACGCTGCAAAAACAAGCAGTATTTCAGTCAAGAACTGGCGTTTTGCATCAGCTGTTTGCACTGAATAGTGTTTATTCACACAGGTGTGTGTGTTTGTGTGTGTGTTTGTGTGTGTGTGTGTGTGTGACAAACCTCTAATAATAAAGCATTATTCTTACTGATGCATTTTCATCCACTTAAGCTGATTTAGCCGAAGTGTTCCAGGTCTGAATGTGTTGGTGTGTCAGTGTGTGTGCTGTTGTTGTTGTTGTGTTAAGGCGTGTATGATGAGTATACTTGTGTCGCTCTGAGCAGGGATTCCCGGTGGAGGGGGGGGGGGGGGGGGGGTTGAAGTACTTCACATTAATGCTCCTCACCAAATTGCTTCCAGCTGAATCATTAGCATATTAAGCCAATTTGAGCCTGATACATAAAGACTCCTCTCAACAATGTGACGGTAACGAGTCCACTTTGTGTGTGTGTGAGTCTGTAGATGTATGCATATGCATGCATATTCTCTTTTTTGTTTCATGGGTGGGTGTGTGTGTGTGTGTGCGCTCGCTCTCGGGGCTCCATGAGCACGTCAAGAAGAGACAAAGGACTCCAGAAGAGCAGATGATCCTCCTGGGTGTACACTGACCCTTTGTGCTGAAATGCAAAGCAGAGCCCTTCACAAGCCATCCGTCAGCATGTGTCTGTCCGTGCTTGCCGCTGCGGCACCCTAAACGCAGATGCTTACGCGTGCGTGCAAAAGTGTCAAAGGAGTGAAGCCGTTGGTTGTTTCCGCCGCCCTGAGCAGTCCGTGCACAAACAGATCCCATCACGTTTGTGTGAGGAGACCAGAGCTCCTCCCTGCAGGGCGGCCCGCCCGCTGATGCTCCTTTCAGCCAGTTCGGACGCATTACAGCCTCCGCTTGTGTGTTTCTTGAGAGGGGGGGTTGTTGTTCGGATGCAGCGCTGCGGAACCGCTTCGGTAGAAATGATGTTCTCACCCAGTTGGGTGGTTTCAGCAAACGCTGCTTTCCCAGCGAGCAACACGTGAGCTCAGAAATTCAAACGCGGCGGCTTTGTCGCATGAGAAGCACAAACTATTCGAAGGAATAATCGAGTTTATTACGACTTCGGGTTCATTAAAGCGCCGTTCTCAACCTGAGAGGTCACCATGCTCGCCGTCCATCAGACGGGAGGCCGTGGATCCTTCCTCACCCGATTGAGGTTCCTGCTTTTCCGATGAGCAAGAGTGTGGACGAGGACGAGGGCTAAAATGATTCAACATCGCGGCGCGTTTTGTCGAGGAACGGGTGAATGCAAACACGGCTTCTGTTCTGAGAACGCAGGGCACCTTTTAATTGACAGAAAGGCTGAGTTCCAAGCGGCAGTCGCTGTTTAATCTCCTTTTTGTGACGGTGACTCTCACAAAATTAAGCTGACAGTGAAAAATGTAACGCGAGTTGAGATGAACACGGACTTTTCTTCGGGAGATTAAAAGTGTTTTTTTCTCTTCTTAGTCTGCTAATAAAACCAAATACAACTGGAGCTGGAACGGATGTCAGATACTCAGAGGCCAGGTGCTGACACGCACTGCATTCTGGGAACTAACGTTTGCTCTTGAAAGATGAAAAGACAGCACACCGAGTCGTACTCTGACACAGACGTCGTATAAATAGTTAAACATATTGCCTTGGAACAAAATAAAGCAGTGCAGCTTCTGGTGTTATTTCTGAAACGCAGTCGTCAATAAATAATACGAGATGTGTAGTCGATTCTTTTTGTGTTCGCTTAAGAGTTCCCTCCTCGTTGGGTCCTGCAGACACAGGAGGGAGAAGGTCTGCAGACCCTTCAAAACCACACGCATCTCCACGGTGTCACCGAGGTGTGCCAATGATGATAAAACATTTGACCGGTCGAGGGTCGCTCTGTAGCGGCGCTGCGATGTTTCCAACCAGGAAAGCAGGTCATGTTCCTGGTAAAATATTCACGCTTCCAGTGATGTGTTCACGTTGCGTTGCGTCAGAACGGGGGAGAAGAAGCCTGGAAGAATCCTCCTCCGGGCCGCTGTCACGTCTCATCGCATACTGAGAGGCTTCTCAGAACCACGAGAGGTCGAGCATCCCTCCAATGCTTTGTCGACCTCGTTGAGCAAAGAGGAAACGTTCCTTTGACGGACGCCGTCATTCGCAGGTGCTGCTGTAACCCGAGTGCCTCACGAAGCGCCGCCCTGGGCTCCTCGGTTAAGTCCTCCCTGCACACAGACAGGGGAGGTGGGGGTTTTTTTTGGTGGTGCCCACCGAGGAGTCCGGCTCGGCGATTGATGGAGGATGGAGGGGGGGGGGGGGGTGTTGCTGTGGGCCCAAGGAGGTCCGCAGTTTGCTTCCCGTCTTTCTCTTTGAAAATAAGGTAAATAAGCCTTGGCAGAAATGCTGATCCCTTGGAAGTGTGTCTGCCCTGTAAACCCTTTGTGTGGTTTTTTTGTGGAGAATCGGGGGTGTTGTTCATCCTTTCAGCACTATTTACAACCTCCTTCCTCTGTGAGCACGACAATTTAAAAGGCACTGAGGTCTCTTATTGGGCTCAGTGATCTACACACACAGACCGCCAGCTGCTGCATCTTATTCAACATATTCCTCGTGACTAGTGGTGCTCTTCGCTTGATGTGTACGTTTCATTGGTTGTGTACTTGATTTGCTCTAATACCATCAGAAAAGCCTATGAAATGCATTCGGAATCTCTAGCTTCAAGCTTTCAGCACGATGTTAGTTTTGTAGGATATGGTTCAACAAGCAGGACAGAGAAGGACTCTGTAAACATCTGCTCGTTGTTCCATTGACGGCTGTCCGGGCTTCTTCACTGCCCCTCGCTCTCTTAACACAAACATCGTGTTCCTCAGGTTCCTCTCCGCCCACGCGCTTGTGTTTCTGTCGTGCAAACTGATGAAACTTTTTTGTAGCAGCAAGTCTTGAGGTCCGTCGGCCTTTTCTTCGCTCCCCCGCGCTGACTCTCACGTATTATATGCAACATGTTTTTTTTGCCTTCTTCATCCGTTCACAGCTCAATGAGAAACGCACACACGGCTTGTGTGTCCACACCTCTGGCCCACACACGCACTGCTCCTCCACCGAGGCGGAGCGCAGGCAATAGATAATGGTGCCATTTCATAAATAATGCAGAAAGAAGCCTTTAGTTCCTCTTTGTGTGTCTGTGTGTGTGTGTGTGTGTGTCCACATCACCGGAGTGAGGCTGCCCCGTCAGCACTAACGCTCCTCCTCCCCAGCACCTCCCTTTACATCGGGTAGACACCCCAAGATTCAGGTTTAAATCCTCCCTCCGTCCGTCCCTCCACCCTTTTGTTCTTCCTTTGTCTTCCACACCAACACGCGCACGGCGCACACTCACCTCCACACATCGCTCAGACACCCTCCATCAGGTTTTAATCTCAGCGGCGGCGCGCCTCCTCCCTCGCTGGCTGAGAGACGGAAAAATAAAGAGGAGACAAATGACTCATTTTATGGTGCAGAGAAATTACCGCCTAAGAGATATTGCAAGCTGTATGTACATTTATTGTAGGAGGAGATGAGATTCAGGGGGAATAACAATAACAGGGGCAGAGACCGCGTGCGTGTTTGAGTCCTTGCTGATGGAGAGTTGTTCTGCATCCCGTGCAGATGGACGCACACAGCGCCTCACGTGCCTCCAGGACACGTCGCTGCTCAAATCGATGGAGGACAGAAGAGGAGGATGAGGAAGCAATCCATTGCGGCGTGCAGAAGAGCTGCTCCCTCGCTGGGAAAAATGCACTTTAGCAGCTCCCTGGTTATATTGGTGCGGCCCGGGAGGGGGGGGGACGTTAAAGGGCGCGACGCAGGACCCCTTTTTCCATCCAGTCTGTTCTCAATGTGCTCGCCCGCACCGACCCAGAAGGACGCACAGATGCTCTGCAAAAGCTAAAGAGAAATGAGGAAAAAAAGAATGAATGATTTTGCTTGCGGGAGGACATTTACTTGATATACTTCCATAAGATATCTTTAAACGGAGGGAAAATGCGATTGCGCCTTGATTTGTTGGAAGGTCTTGACAGCGCTGTATTAAACGGGCTCCTGATTGGCTCCCTGCTTCATTGATTTCACACAGCAGTTATATTTAAACCAACCTTTCGGCAGCGCATCTGTGTAAGATGCACTGCATCTGTTGGTCATATTGACTTGCCCCGAGCACAACGCCATCACGTCTGACATGCACGCACAGAGGCTTGACGTTACAGCAAGTCACCGGGTACCATGACGCTGCCTCCACGTTTCCATGACGGATCTTGCTGTGCGGTTTCCTCATGATTCATCTGGCTCAGAGACCACAGCGTTCAGCCTCAGCAGAAAACAGAGAGAAGCTCAAATGAACAAGTCGCGACCTCCGAGTCGCCCAGTGGCGGAAAAAGAAGATTCCCTCCGATGTTCCATTTCATCTCCATGGCTCCTTCTGAGTTTTGCTTTGCAGAACTAAACGAGGAAACACATCTCCGAGAAGCCCTGTGAGAAAGCAGTCGGCGAGTGGACTTTGCTCGTTCAACCCGCCCGGCCGGAGGTCGCGCTCCGTCCACCCGAACGACAGCGGGGTCGCCCATCGTTTTCCTCACCGTCGGGCCGCTGACAATCCGTCCCCTTCGGTCTTTCATCTTCTCTCCGTCTGACGCACACCTGAACACACCGACACGCTGTTCTGCTGGCGCCGAGTCCCCACTTCCAGGCATCGCCGCCACTTATCTCCCTCATCGCTCAAACTGTTTTGCGGCAGCAAGAGGAGGAGGCGGGCGAGGAGGGAAGGGGGAGACAGAGGGGGCGATTGGTTCACTCGGGACGGCTCATATGTTCTGAAAGGTGCTGCTTTGGCAGCAAAAACTTTCCGGGTTGACACGCGTCCGATTGATACGAGGGAATGGCTGCCCACTCAGCAGAAGTGATGGGACGATCCCCCCGCGTCTGCAGATCGGGAGACGAGCGCGCGGCGCTGAGCGGGAGAGAGCTGCCGAAGTGCCGCCGCCAGGCTGAAAACTCAAGATATCACCTGCAGCCGTTGTCAGAGTTGTTCTACCGATTTTCGCCCACTTCCCCCTCATCATCGTCATTGTCGCCCACGCTGTCAGGGCCGACCGCCGTCGTCGTCCTCGTTATTTACAGAAGTGCCATCCATCGTGGTCATTATCTTCTCCGGCGCGCTCATCGGCATTTGCAGAAATCCAATGTATTAATAGTGCGATTGTTTCCATGACGGAGGTTGGCGTGCAGAGCGACTGCTAGACATTTCGAAATGGGGGCATCATGAACCTTTAGTGCCACCGCCATTCGACCTCTGCAGCTCATCCAGAATGCAGCAGCTCGACTGGTCTTCAACCTTCCGAAATTCTCCCACACTACTCCACTCCTCCGCTCCCTTCACTGGCTACTGGTGGCCGCCCGCATCCAGTTCTAAACATTGGTGCTCACGTACCATGCTGTGAATGGATCGGGTCCAGCTTACATCCAGGACATGGTCAAACCCGACATCCCGACCCGCACTCTCCGCTCTGCATCTGCAAAACTACTCGTCCCTCCCTCACTGAGAGCAAAACACTCGACTAGATCTCGACTCTTTGCTGTCCTTGCGCCGAAATGGTGGAACGAGCTCTCTGAAGACACCAGGACCGCAGAGAGCCTTCACATCTTCCGCCGCAAACTAAAGACACACCTCTTCAGACTCTACCTCGACTAAAGACTAACAAATTGTAGCACTTAAATTGTACTTGTAACGTCACTCATCTATAGCAAATTGTAAATTGGCTTATTTTGAGGAAATTGCACTTTGTTGTTTCTTGTTCTCTTGTTCTTGAGTTTGTACCTTATGGTTGAATGCACTTATTGTACGTCGCTTTGGATAAAAGCGTCCGCTAAATGACATGTAATGTAATGTAGTGAACATTTAATTCCAAATTAATCAGAGCATAAAATGTGTAATGTAAAGACGTAGCAGAGTGAGATAACAGCCGGCCTTTCCAACCTGTTAAGATGGTTCTACCTGAAGCTCGGACCTCGTTCTGTCTCATTGCGATGTTCTACAGGGAAGAACCCCTCCACCTTCTCAGGGAGCCGACAAGGACCAAGCCCAGGTTTCTTTTAATAGACTGCGAGAAGTGGGTGTGGTCATGGTGACCTCACCCATTGGTGGCTTGACTGCTGCTCTGAAACCACAAATTTGAACACTTCGGACGTCTCGCCCTTTTGGACCACGGCCGTCCTCGTGGTGTTTTTTCTCGCCACCAGTAAACGGAGGTGACCTTTGTTTGGAATGCGGTGGAGTGATGTTGAGTTGCCGCGGCAACGTCAATCACGGTGAGCCCGCCCCCAAAGCCGACCTCTTCCCCGGTCTGTTTGACTCTGAAAGGACAATAATTTACTAAATCAACACAATGCTGCATTGAAGACGATAGCGGTTGAGACCATGAATTCATGATTCCAAAGTTTAATGAGGTTGTAAATCAATTGAGAAGTGGGGTAATTTATTCATAGACTTCTACACCATCTGACTTGTTTTTGTAACCAGAGGAGTCGCCCCTGCTGATCACGACATCCTTTATTTTGTTCAATGTTTCAGGAAAATCCGATCCCCCATATTATTAATCTATGCAACGAAATAACTACACAAAGAACTGAATAATGTGTTTCCATTATAACTGTCTGCTTCTGTTAGAATGCATTATTTTGGGGAAATGCTCACTACAACAGAAGTTTCCAGTAAAAGACTTCTAATGTGATGAAACATGACAAAAGGAATGAACAACATGGAAGCTGTTTTTTTCCAGCTTGCACACTGTGTGCGCTGAACTACGGTTAAAACAGTATTAATATCTCAATCTATGCATATCTAATGTGGGCTGCATTGTCTCAACCCATCATTTGCTGCTATAAATATAATCTCGGCTCTACTGTTTGTCAAAATAAAATCACTTTATTACAGCTCGAATGCATCCCTAGGGCAAGTTGTTTATAGTCGTAAACTCTTTGCTCATTCTTAGTTACCAACTCATTTCTGTGCAGGTCACACTACGGCTGCTAGTCTTTATTTTATACACGCTGACCTTAAACCTGCAGGAATGTAATTATGCAACAGCAAAATATACATTTTATATTGATAATTGGATGGACATTTTCCTATGAGCTCAATTGTGCATAATTAGGGATTCCAGACTCAGGGATTCTTATTTAACCCAGCTGAGTGAAACAGGACTAGGAGTCTGCAGCCATGCTAGCGGCACAAAGGCTTCATCAAGCCCTATCGAGGCTCCACCGAGGCTCCATCAAGGCTCCATCGAGGCTCCATTGAGGCTCCACCGAGGCTTCATTGAGGCTTCACGAGGCTCCATTGAGGCTTCACGAGGCTCCATCGAGGCTTCACCGAGGCTCCATTGAGGCTCCACCGAGGGTCCACCGAGACTCCATCGAGGCTCCATCGAGGCTCCATTGAGTCTCCATTGAGGCTCCACCGAGGCTTCATTGAGGCTTCACGAGGCTCCATTGAGGCTTCACGAGGCTCCATCGAGACTCCATCGAGGCTTCACCGAGGCTCCACCGAGACTCCATCGAGGCTCCATCGAGGCTCCACCGAGGCTCCATTGAGACTCCATTGAGGCTCCACCGAGACTTCATTGAGGCTTCACGAGGCTCCATTGAGACTCCATTGAGGCTCCACCGAGACTCCATTGAGGCTCCACCGAGACTTCATTGAGGCTTCACGAGGCTCCATTGAGTCTCCATTGAGGCTCCACCGAGGCTTCATTGAGGCTTCACGAGGCTCCATTGAGGCTTCACGAGGGTCCACCGAGACTCCATCGAGGCTCCATTGAGGCTCCACCAAGGGTCCACCGAGGCTCCATCGAGGCTTCACCGAGGCTCCATCGAGACTTCATCGAGGCTTTACCGAGGCTCCATCGTGGCTTCACCGAGGCTCCATTGAGGCTTCACCGAGGCTCTATTGAGGCTCCATTGAGGCTCCACCGAGGCTCCACCGAGGCTTCATCGAGGCTTCACCGAGGCTCCATTGAGGCTCCACCGAGGCTTCATCGAGGCTTCACCGAGGCTCCATTGAGGCTCCATCGAGGCTTCACCGAGGCTCCATTGAGGCTCCATCGAGGCTCCGCTGTGCTTTAAGCCAAACTTCACATGCTCACGGTGATGTAAAGATTCAGCACCACGAGGCCTTGGGTATGCTGACTTTCCTTTATACTAACGCACACACACACAATAAGGAGATTAACATGGCTCTTTTTCCTTCTCAACTCAAGAGGGAAGATTACCAGATTCCCTCAGCACATTGGCTGCGATGAAAGGTTCATTATCAGTGAGAAACATGGTGTTAGTGGGACGTGATTGACTTGATTCCTCATGTATTCACTGGGACCAGATCGGATTGAACCACATATCGCACACGTCGAGTCTTACTAACACGCATTTCAATGATGTTTGTGTTTCAAACTGGATGCAAAACCTGCCGACATGTTTTTTCCTGCATGTCTGTCAACTTCATCTGCTCCCCTCCCCCCCCCCCCCGACTCTCCCGTCTCATCTCTCCCAGGTGTTTATTCACCACACAAAGACGGGGCTTTAATGACGCCTCAGAGCTGTCAATATAATCAGAGAGCTGTCACAAAACAAAAGGGCTACAAGTTACAGTTACAGCGCCGACGACGTGGACTGGCGCCCACGCCGAAGCTCTGTTTCCACCGCCTTACCGGCACAAACAAACCAACAAAAGCCCTGTCAACACACTGAGCCGTTGTTTGGCTGGATCCCTCCGTGTGTGGTGCGTTTACATCCGCTAACACCCGGCTCTCTTTCAGAAAGCCGCTCCTAATGATCACCGCTGATGACAGATTTCGGTGCATTGTGGGTAACGGCTCGAGAAGATCAGCCGGCGTTGAGGTAAAAATAGACAATCTATCTTTGATGCTATTTTGGTTTTTGCCAATGAGAAAAGATGTGCACACATACGTGTGTGTGTGTGTGTGTGTGTGTGTGTGTGTGTGTGTGTGTGTGTGTGTGTGTGTGTGTAGTACAGCACCCCTTGCAGAGAGGACAAGGTCGATGATCAATTCATCATCGTCCGCCACCAAGGGCACAGCGTGTCAGCAGGTGCCGCCGTGGACCCTCGAGATGAATTTATGCACTTTGAATTAAAGGGGAACTGAAATTGAAGTTTTGTGTGAGGAAAGTGTTTTGGGCCTCTTTTGGCCTCCGGGTATCTGGAGACGTGCACTCTTATTTAGTTTTGATTTGCACTTTTTTCATAATCTCATTGGAATTTGATTCTTCTCTGGTCGTTTGGACGGATCGATGTATTTTAATCTGAACCTGTTGTATCTGCAGCCATGTTATGATAATGATTACCCCTTTGTGTTGATTACAACCGAATAAGAACACAACTCAAAACAAACATCACGGATGAGAAATCCAGTTGATCACGAAGAATGAAAAGTGACACATCTGGGAAGAGTGAAGGTGACTTAAAGAGGAGCAGCTCACCACAAAAACTGAGTTCTTTCACTAATGAGCAAACGCCTGCAGCGCTTTGTGGCCACTCTCTCTCCAACGCCACACGGAGCATCACGCGCCGCCATCCAATCGGAGACGGACAGTCGGGACAAATACGTGACTGCGCGTGCTAATCGGCACTAATTGGACGTGATTGTGCTTTGAGATCGACAACCGTCCGATATCGCTGCAGTGAGCTCGATCCAAACGTGCCTCTCAAAAGCAGGAGAGGACAGCGAGAGAAGTCAAAACTATTGCAGAAAGTTCCCTAATTATCTATCGAGGTGGTTGATGAACTTCCCCCTGTTAGAAGTCCTGGATTTCCTTTGAAGAATTCATGAAATGTGAGACAATTATTATCTTTCTAAAACATCGTTTACACCAAACCGGCTCTCCTCAAAACGCGGGGCTGTTTTTAATGGTGGAGATCAGAGCGGATCAAAGCGGCTGCCGCTGATAAGCTGCAATTAAAGAAGTCCAAGACGAAGAACCCGGTCCGGGCGCCCCCCCCCCCTGCACCCCCTCCCTGAAAGACGTGACGTGGTCGGGAGCTGTAAACATTCCGGAACCTCATTTGCAATGAAGAATATGATTAGTTGGTTTTCATATCAAGCTGTATTATTGTGCGTATTGCGTCATCGCATCCGCCCCCTACCCCCCCGGCGGCCATCTTGTGTCAGTCAGTTAAACAGGTGCGTTTTGGGGCGATCAGCTGTCAGCGCTACACACACGCCACACATCAAGTGTGTGTGTGTCTGTGTGTGTGTGTGTGTGTGTGTGAGTGTTTGACCCGTCATTCCTCGACAGAGGTGAAGCCGATAACGAAACCAAACGCCATCACTAAGCTTTTTGTTTTCGGCGGCGTGTGTTCGGGGCTTCAGGGAGCGGCGGGCGAGAGAGAAGGGAGTTGTGTGCTTTCTTCAGTCGCAGAAAGGTGTGTGTGTGTGTGTGCGTGTGTGTGTGTGTGTGTGTACTGATATCAGGACATGGATGGAGAGGTGAGAGGGTTCAAGATTACAAGGGAGCTTTCAATTTTCTATTTTCTAAAGCGCCCCTTCCCCTGACTGTGCCCCCCTCACACACACACACACACACACACACACACACACACACAGACAGCCCTGATTATCTTTTAACAACGTGAGCCTCATACACACACTGCGACATGTCGCACCAAAGCCTCTCGGAGACGCTTGTTGTTTCATTTCTTTTAAATGATTGCAAAGAAAAGGGGGAGAAAAAGAGAATGTGTGCGTGATGAGCGTTGCAACGTTTTGCATCCACACATCACTTTGTTGTGTGCGGAACAAAAGTAGTAGAAGAAAACAGCAGCAGGAGGAGAACATGCTGCATATGAGACAGTAAATACACGTAAACAACGCCAGGATCCATCGGCACACACCACTTAATCCATGCATGCAACGCCTTTTAGATATTACCAAAGCTTTCTCCAAATCGACTCGACCGGCTCTCTGATCTCCCCGTTCAGCTTCGGCGCTGAGCAGCAGGAACCATTCGCCGCGTTCACCCCCGCGCCCCCTGCCCGCTGCCAGGCCCCCGCCATGCTGCAGGGTTTCCATCACCTTCCCATTGCTGCGAGGACAGTAGGAACTAATAAGGTAAAAAAGAAGAGAACACACACACACTACTGTAGCCTGCAGCTTTTAAAGAAAGAGCAATCAGGGGTGATACATTGGCAAATGTCAAACAAGGATTAATGGATTAATAACATTGTTAAGTATCCTCCGAGTGGTGTCTCTGTTGAAGCTGCCTATTTTTTTCCCCGCCCTTCGTCTCCTCGTCTCCACTAATAGGGAGCGCGAAGGGAGCCGGGGACGTTGGGAACCAATCTCACAGACAAAAAACTCTCGGCTGAATTTAATCTCTCCGTCCTCTTTCTGTCTGCGTCTGACAGCACTGCTCTCCAGCTTCCCTCCGTGTGTGTGTGTGTGTGTGTGTGTGTGTGTGTGTGTGTGTGTGCGCGGTGGCAGCGTGTTCTCCATACTGGGTTATTGGGGGTTTCCATTAAACCACACTCAGGGTAATCATCAGAGAATCGTGGGCGCTGGGGGCAGAAATACTGGTAGTTTTATATGCGTGTGGATCTGCTTTTTTTTTTGCTTGCATGCTTTGCAGATTTTGCAGAAACCGGGACACGTGCGTGCCGGGTGGACGGAGGTTATAGGAACACATTTTACTCCAAATTAAGAATTCATCTTGACACAGAGTGGACCTCTGGAGCGGAAGCCTCCCTTCGAACGCACTTTCTGCCGGGCCAATTAAAAAATGTGAGGTCTAACACGGCCGCTGCAGTCTGTCAAATAATTATCCAGGAAGTGTCTCGCTGAGATGCTTCCCACGAAATGCATGGGCGGCGATTCGGCCGACGCCAAAGCGGCCGCCGCTTGTTAAAAGCCCGCAGCACCAGAAGTTGTGCGTCGCCGCGTTCGGCCCCTGCCCGCGTGCCCACGTGCCGTTTTTCACTTTCTCGCCTGCAAACTCGGATCATCAAGTAGGATGGAAAACTCAGCCCGGACCTTTTGCAACCTCACGTCCCGCCCGAAGCGTTGCTGACGGTGCGTTTTGCCAGCGCATATGTGAGTGAGTTATTCCTCCTCCGGATTCTATTAGCGGGTCTTAACTTAGAAAAAGGTCAGGCTTAATTTCCACAGGGAGCGATAATTACACGGGATTCCAGCTTCTCCTGTGGCCTCCTCCCCACAACCCACCGCCTCAACGGGGGTTAGCTTCACGCCGCGCTAATCAGCTGCGCTTCGAGTCCATCCGAGTCGTCTCTCTCGCCACAGTCGCATTGTTGCAGGAGCGATGGCGAGGATGATTGGAACCGCGACGGTGCGATGAGCTCGCCGCTCAATGGAAAGACGCCTTCGCAAACCTCGATCACCGGGGGGCCGCGCGTCAGGCCGCTGGGACGGTCTCGCCGTTTGCATACCAAACACGTCCAGGGGACGGAGGGAAGAGTTGAGGCAGTTCGGGGAGCTCGCTGTGTAACTCAACTCTCTTCGCTCATCCACAGGGAAATTAACTGTGGCGAAGCAGCATCACATGTATTTACCGGGGTAATCCTGTCCTAATCTGCGGAGGGACATACGGGATCGAATGGCGGCGTGCGCTGTCTGTTCCAACGCGTACGATCAGGGAAACGGCGAAGCGATGTGAAGGAGATACAGTGCGGCGCCACTCTGAGCTAAATGCTAAATGCTAACGCGCCACGGCGATTCTACCGCGACCGCAGTCTCAGTTTAGCTGAGCGGAAAAACCCCTCGCAGCGTCCCAGAGGCAATGATGTGCGAATCCTTTTTTCATTAGTTTAGTTCTCCTTCTTTTTCTCAGCCCCACATTCATTCCTGTGCGACCGGGCTGATTAATTTCACAGGAAACACGATCAACTCATGTGACGGCAAAACATCGACCCACCTCTGCAAGTTATTCCATCAAAAATGATTAATAAATAAAAAATGTGAAGTGAATGAAAAAAATACCAAATGGATTCATCATGAAAGTCTATTAATAATATTACAGTGTACATGTGTTTCTTTATTGCACTATTTTTTTATTGATCACAAATAACAGCGCTAAATGCTAACGTCTGCATGCGGGAAGGCCGTCAATGGCAATGAACGCTGAATGTTAGCTGGCACAATGTTTACTATGTTAGTAAGTATGTTATTTAGCAAAAAAAAAACACAAAGCACAGCCGAGGCTGATTGGAGCGAGCGAATGAAAACTTTTGAACCAATGAATAGTCCTCAAGAGAGCAGTCAGGGATTCGCTGCATCCAGTTGGATTTATTTCCTGGAAACCACGACTATCTGGGTCAAAATATCTGCACAAGCAATAGTTTAACAAACTGCATCGTGATCCATCCAATAGTTGTTAGAGACATTTCACCAAAGAAGGAGTCGTAAGAGGAAAATGGCCAAACGTATTAAAATTTCATCCTCAGGGGACCCCGAATGAGGTCCAACAATTCAGGAGTTATTGTTGCATTCTGGTCCAAAAAGTAATTTGCCTCAAAATGTCCTGGAAACTTTGATGATCCAACGCGATAAAAGCATTGCTTTGGGCCAGCAGCGCAGATGGACGTGCAAACAATGGGCCAATCCCAGCCCCCCTCCCCTCCCCGGCGCAGAGTCGACGCGGGAAAACCCCCCTTCCTCCTCCCGCCTCTCTGCCGGCGGGCGCCATTGAACGGAATCGGGAGAAAATGCTAACGTTTAGCCGCCGGCCGCCTGCTGCAGAGCAAGGATCTGAAGGGTGTGTTTCCATTGTGCAGTAAAGACACTGATGGAGCGGAATCGAGAAGAGAGACATGAGGGGAGATTATCTCATCTTACCACTGATGGACTGATGCTGATTCCGACCCACACGTGGCGAGGGAAGGATTAGCTTGGGCTCTTGGAACAATTCTCCAGAGAAAAGCTCTTGAAAGAAGGTATTATACTAAACATCCAGCAATATGCTCTTTGTAAGAGTCTTACCGGCGCTTTCCTCCTCGCGTCCCTCGCTCTCTGCCAGTTCCCCGCGGAGGCGCTCAACAGGAATGCGTGAAGGACATTTCCTAATTGGCATTCCGAGGCACGGAAGCAAAGCAGAGGTGAGGAAGCCAGAGAGTCCGCGTGAGACAGACGCTGGAGGGAGGTGGGGGGGGGGCGCCGGCGAGGCCTTATCGCGACTGTCTCCTCCGCGGCCGCGTGGTTAATGGTGAATGATTTCCTCGCCGTCTAAACGCTTGTTGCAACATCGCTGTCAGCGGCGCGGCGAGTTGCAGCCTCGTGGGCGTAATGGCGTTGTGGCGTTGGCTCCAGATAGAGGATCTGTGGAGATGAGAACTGGTGACACTCCCCAACATGCCAACACCCACCAGCCTCCCTGCATCCAGAAATGTGATAATTACTGATGTACAAAGAGTGTTTTCCTCAACTTGACCAGTAATTCCAAGCAAATAAATTGTTACACATACAATATAGAGTAACAGAGTAATGTGGTTGAACTGACCTCTACTTTGTTTTTTGATGATCAAGAGTTTTGGTAAGTTCACATGGGACATTTCTGTCTATGTGTTCATGTGTTTGCTGTTCTGAACTGTTTTAAGTGGGCGTGTGACATGTGATGTCACTTCTTCCCCGGACCAATCAGAATGTGCAAATCAAATTGTCGCGACAGCTCTGGCTTTAGTTTCTTGTGTCGGAAGGCCGCTGTCAATCAAATCTAATGGGGACACACAGTCCTGATGAAGAGTAAAGGCTTTCGTGTCTTCAGGGAACTACTTCTTGTTAAACTTTCAATTTGGATTGTGACTTATGAAGTCGTGAATATTTAATATGAAGAGAAGAAAAATATTTTAAGTTTTAAGGGGCATTGAAATTCTTATTACACGTTTGTTAATTTAATAATATAATATATTATATCATAAAACCATTTTACTGAATACTATTTTTTTTTACTCATAATGGAATATTTTAAGTAAATTCCTATGCCTGTGTTGAAATATAGGACCTGAATATTGCTCCATCCTTATACACTCGATTTCCACTGCAAATAACTGAGATAAAGGTACCAGTACTGTCGGGGGAGAATTTGTTGAGGTGCATATTGTGAGAGTCTCAAGAACTCGTATGTGACCTTTCTTGGGAAACTCGTGACCTGACCTAGTCTACGATGAAATCCATATGTGGCTTGGACAGACCATATCATGTTCTTCTATTTGCCGTTCTCCTCTGTTATCCTGTCTGTCAAAATGATTGACTTGGTCCACTAAGAGAGGGTCGCGGAGGTTCCCGAAACAACATCTGGTTACCATTCCTCGAACCTTCAGAGCTGTATAAAAGCTCCTGGTTCCCCCCAGAAACTTGGTCAGATCTTCCTGCTCCTTTTGGGAGAAGGAACTTTCTGCCCCTTTTCAGCTGAATTGTAGTCATTTGACTTCTGTCTGTGCTTACGGCTTGTGCTGATGATCTCTGTATTCTTTATCATTTTTCTATATTCTAGTTAGTAATAAATACTTAATCACAAAGCGAGCTCAAGATACTTTTGATTTCTCACATGGGCTAAATCCACAAATTTCCACCACAAGTACCAGTGTGTGTCAACGAGCAGTGCTGGCGTAAATCTCATCTGCCTGGATTAGGCAGGTTATGGGCCGTGATTGGCAAAGTAAAAAGAACAAAGGGAAGAAGAGGCGAGAAAAGAAGACGCAATAAAGCTACAAATGAGGCGGACGAGCTTCGTTAGGCGGGTTAAGCGTCATTGCGGTTTTAATATCGCATGGAAAAGGTGTGATACCTCTCATTTTCTTTCTCTCAGTTGGTTTATTGAGCTGCCATATATAGACCAAACCTTCTGGTTAAATACGTTTCCCTGCATTTCCTCGCATGTGGACAGAGACTCTTTAACTGGCTGGAAGCGGGACGTTACATCTCAAGTTTCATCGCGAGCCGATTGGCCGCAGCGATTGTCCAGATGTCTGCAGGTGATCACCGTGCAGTCCATCGACTTCTGAGTGACGCCCTTGCATAAGAACTACTCCCAGATAATGAATAACACAGGGCAGCGAGGACAAAGAATAAGTCACGAAGGCCACACTGTAGCTTTGGTCCGTCCCCATGCAGGAACAACAACTGGCGTGTGCACGCGGCAACATGAAAGGTAAACAAAACATTCATTATTATGCAAGGTTATATTTCAATGTCCCTCTCTGCGGCATCCCAAGTTGAATATTATCATGAAGAATAATAATGCAAAAAAAGGGGGGTTGGAGTGCCAGGGTGAAAATGTGACACACCCTCTCTGTTACACAACAACAAGGGCGCACACCAACAACACACACACACACACACAGAACGATCCTCAAAGGAAATATAACCGTAACCCTCTCCACCCGAGAAAAAAATGAATGAATCTCAGGATTCTTGGTGCAGAGTCACCTTGAGCCTAGTGTGTGTGTGTGTGTGTGTGTGTGTGTGTGCGTGTGTGTGTGTGTGTGTCTGTGGCCAGACACTTGAGACAAATGGCATCAAGTGGGACCTTGAAGAGAACCCTGTTGGACACCTTTCGGTGCTGAAGGGGGGGGGAACTCCTCCACCTGCCCCGGCGACTCTCTGCGTCTTTAACGAGGAGCATAAAAAAATAACGAAGCGTTTTAACCTTGAGGGCCAAATCAGAGAGAGTGGAACACTGTGAGTACGCCGAGCTGGATCAAGGTGATTTTTTTTATTTCTTAACCCCCCCCCCCCCACCCCTCCTCCCCTCCTTTTATTACTGGGAAATGTTTCTGCAGTTAAAAAGACACCAGTTCTTTTAACAGAGGACGCAGGTCGGCGTTCCCTGTCTCAGGTGTCTCTGGTTTCGATGGTGATGGCCGGTAGCCGGCATGCAGGAACGTTACAATTAGCGCGCTACGTATCGAGCTCGCCGCTGACCCCGTGTCGGCTGCCTGCAGCGCCATCATTAAGCCCGGCAGCTTGTCCTGCATTGTTCTCCATTTTTGTTCCCCCCTCAACCTCTCTCCCTCTCTCCCTCTCTCTCTCTCTCTCTCTCTCCCGGCCTTGTCTCTGCGTTCTTGTTTTCATTCCTCTCAAGTTAATGATCAGCATCCCGGCACACAGAGAGAGTCACGCCGAGCCTTCGTGGCTCCGCCTGTCCTTTCAAGACGAATGACGAGCGGCGTAAACAGAAATATGTAGTTCAATTTCCCAGATTCTCTCAGGGATCCACATTTAACATCTGAACTTGATACGGAATATTTCATCAGGCCGAGCGGTTTAATTATTAATAACAAAGAATTGATTATGGCTTCTGGCTCCCTCGAGTTAATCTCGGCGCTGATGTGATTAGAAAATAAAAGTGGTTTGCGGGGAGCTGAGAATTTGACAGATCGACAGTGAGCTGTAAGATTAAGCTTTGAGTGAAGGAAGAGAATAAACCCTAGCGGGCATCTTCAAATCTTTCTTTAACAACTTCAAAACAAAAGCAGCTGAATGCATGAAGCTTCTGTTGTATGTGCATTCGGAGCGGATTGTTTGTGCGATGTTTGTCGAGGCCGATGCGCGTGCTTTTTCATCCTTTTCTCACTTTGTTCAGCGCTGCTCTGCGTCTGCATCTGACTCACAAAAGCACTTTTAGCGTCTGCATTGTAGGGTGAACACAAGAAGTGGACGTTGTCATAGTGACGTCGTTTATTTGTGTTGTCATCTTTGGAATTTGGCAGTCGCAATGTTGTTGGTTTTTTAAACCGTGAACAAAAGTTTCCATGTTTGGAATATGGAGGAGTACGATGGCGAGCAGCCAGCTGTCTATCACAGTAAGCCCCGCCCCAAAGCATACCCTGCTTTACGGTCTATATGGCTCTGAATTGACCATAATTCACTAAATCGGCAACATGCCTTTTTGCAGTTGACTATATCAGAGGTACTGAGGGAATGAATCCAATGAGAAGTAGAGTCCTCAATGAGAGTAGTCGCCCCCCGATGGCCGGCAGAGGGGACGCTCGCCTTGTCTATTCGTCCTTCGGCCTCCTCCGAGACAAGTAAATAAGATTAAAAAAAGATTTTAAAAAAGATGAAAGCCAAAATCAAAGTCCACCAGCTCCCGGGCCCCTGGCAAACACATGCATATTCATGAAGCAGCACACACACACACACACACACACACACACAGACCGGCTGTAGGCCGGACATGTCCATCGCCACCGTCTCAGGAGTCACACTGATGTGTTTTAAGTGGAGCTTGTGAGGGTTTTTGGACCTTTCAGCTTGCACAACAACACGCGTCTCAGAGGATGAGCGCGCGGATGATTCCCTCTGAAGCTCCGTTATTAAACATTTTCTAATGATTTTCTTTTTCGCTTCAAGTCGGTGTCAAACGTGTTTTGAATTAGATCCAACAGGAATCAGGCCTCTGCAACGAGCGACGTGTCTCCAAGCGTTCCTCTGAACTGGGGGGTAATTTGGAGGCTCAGACACGAACGGAAAGTAGTCTGAGTCAACAGAACGTCACGGGTTGGTTGTTTTTTGCAGATACATCAAATACTTCTTCAAGACTTTTATTTCTGTGTGTCACAATAACTAATAATTACATTTAGAAGAAAAACGAGAAGAAATTGAAGAAATTGTCAAGTAACAAGTCACCCCAATTTTCTAGTTTTTGTTGAACTAGTTAGTGAAGTAAAACACTTGCAGCCTTTAACTAAACGTTTGTAGTTGCACTTGTGTGCAACTCCTCACTAAAAACAAACGGTTTGGAATATTTAGACCCAACTTGTCAGTCACTGCTTTACACACAATATTTGAAAAATACAGACCAGAATATACGTAAAACTAGCATTCGATTCACTTGGCAAAACATTTCTGTCTATTCCAAAGTACCTAATAATCATGTTACGTCATGCAGTATTTTTACCCACGTTTAGACGTAAAGCACCAGAGACAAACTGGGAGTCAGATGATGTGGTGAAGGACGCCCGAGACAGAGACAGAGACAGAGGCAGAGACAGAGGCAGAGACAGAGACAGAGACAGAGGCAGAGACAGAGACAGAGACAGAGACAGGGACAGAGACAGAGATGTAGCTCAGCGTTGAAAGTGATGAGGATCTTGGA